AATTTATGTTAAATACACTCAGCATCCCTGGAGAGAAATGTCACTAGAGAGCTATAAATTATGAAGCCCAAATGTTGACCGTCAGGCACAGAGCTCTCCAAGGTGCGTTAGGAACAGGGTCCGTGTTCTTGACAGCTGACCATCCAAACGGTGCCATTTGTCAACCTGATTACGTGTAAGATTCAGATATCACTTACAGAGGACCCGAGGGCATATATGCAATGCAGAACCGAAGCCCTGATATTCACTAAGAGGAAGGCACCCTGTCCAAATGGGACACCAATATGCACTATGGGACCTAAATGAGTAACTGAATTCTATATTAAATGTATTTAAAGATTTTTTTCTCTATATATCCTTACTTGGCAGTAATGACTCATTTCCTACTTTGTTTTGCAGAGAGCATTTAACAACCCACGTTCAATGAGATACATCAGTAAAACGACAATTGTTCAATTCATGCATCAAAGACTTTATCACTTTCAAAAACACTGGTGAAAACAACAGGAACCATTGTTTAAATGAATATAATATAATGTATAACTAAGCAATCTAATGAAGGAGAATGTAAATTTATACAGTGGCAGTTTTCAGATGTCATCCGAAATAACACACGTACTTATTAGAAATATCACAAATATTTAAAACAGGACTGCAAGCAGGTAATAAAGGACACATCCTTTGTGATCGTCCAAAATGAATAAAACCACTTGCCGAGCTAATATTTTCTTGATTCTTCTTGACTCTTTCCATTTCAGGAGTTACACTTAACGCGGTAGCTCTTCCCGGCTGACCTTTATAATAGACCTATCATTTCAGGGAACAAAAAATAGAGTACTATGAATCGATTCAACCCATTAAGAGTCTCATGCTATTTATTTTAATGAGTTAAGCAAGGAAGGTAAACTATTAAAAAAAAGGATACTATCAGAGGTCTAGTCTTATTAAAATGCTGGCATCTTAAATCAATGTATTTCATTCCATCGCATAGGAGGGTATATGTGTCCAAATCACTGTGGATGTATTAAAATATATACGCATGCCATCAATAAAGCTGTAATAAGCACTTAATCACAAAGGAATATGAGATGAAATGTCTTCATGACTATTACTTAAAGATACTTCTGCCCATACAGAATGATAGTACACCATTATGATTTCTTAGGAATTAACTTTGGCAGAACTTTTATAAGGATTCGTGTAAATACATGTCTGTGGACATTGATGAAAAGGCCAGTGTGCTTCTCGCTGCCCACTTCTCTTTCTCAATAAATATGTTCCTTTTTGAGAGTAAGGGAGTCACGTCAAGTGTGACTCTCAATATATCGGGAAAAGACGAACATTTCTAAAATACAGTTGTTGGGAAAAGTATCAAACGACAACCTGCCTTTGCTTTATAAACTGGCTAAATGATTTTAAAAGTCTGAAGAATAAAAGATTTCTTTGAACGTAATAGATTTCCAAATTTCCTCTTCCGAGGAACCCAATCTATATGTTAATGACTTTAAAAAAGGATTGTCTCCGTGAAGTGCATCTGTGAATCGTATCAACCACGGGGAATTAGAGCAGGCCACGAGTTGGTGTCTAAGTAAAAACTGCCAGCCCCTTATCAAGTGCCCCTAAAATGGCCCTGTCCCATATGACATATTCAGCCATGCATACTTTTATCATTTCTTCCCGGACATTGCCCCCAAAATAGAGTAATAATCGCTGGGAGGAGAAGAAGGCTGGGAGGAGGCCCACAGACAAGAACACATGCAAGCAGGAAAAGGAATGGATTTGTAGTGGGGCCAAGATGCAAGAAGCTACAACTGCTTCCCTCCGGGGAACTACAGCACCTATCAGCGTGAAGACAAGATAAGAGGGATACACACAACCTGTCGGAAAAAAAATCACCCTGGTCACCGGGAACCCTGACATGGGGAATGCCTGAGTGTATCCACAATAACTAAGACCCTAAAGCGTTTCAATAAATTGTTATTTCACTGAGAGCAGAATATGAACTCGAAGTTACGAAAATTCTGTGAATGCAATCCCTCCATTGACATGTTGACAATATGTTTGATGTAAGAAAAAAGTTACTGAGATGACCACACATTGCTGATGTTCTTCTGGTTTTCCTTCACCCTCTTCAGCTCTGGTGGATCAGAAATTGCAGTTGCCTGTTTAATCTCTCCCTTATATTTTACCTGTGGAGGATAAAGAAGAATTTTAATAGTTAGCAGACTGGGCCCCACCTAAACATCACAGAGGATGAGGCTCGAAATTAACCCTTTCTTTTTACACGTTTTCCACGGTAGAGCTGTGTCAACCTTCCTGTTCATGCCTGTTCATTCCGACTGGTCTGACTTAGCAAGCACAAGATGTTGGTTGTGTTATTTCAAAATCAGTCTTCAATAAATACTTAGCTGTTCAATGGCAAAATTAACTGTAAATTCCATGAATAAAAGGACTGGAAATATAAGGGAACGTGCTTTAAAAGAAACACCAGAATGAAGTCATTACAAGAGAACTACAGTGAAGTCGACGATGCAGCAGCCTAGGAAGGTCTTTGACTCTCTTTCCATAGAAGCTGAAGCTCTCTGACTCCCACCACCTCCCAGGGACATCCCAAGGACAAATAATTTCAAGCCCGAAAATCTCCTCCACCTAGGAGAACTCACTCTTGAATTTTAAAGCTTTTCAAAATTACCTGGTTTGGAAGAAGCAGCCTATCATTTATATTGATCAAAGTTCCCCAAAGGGGTCACAACACGGAAAAAGTAACTATTTGGGGGACCTCAGAAAGGGACTTCTGAATTTTAGGAGGCCTGGGTTCAAATTCCAGCTCTGCCCTTACCAGCCGTGGGTCCCCAGCATATCCTCTGATCTCTCCAAGACTCAGTTTCCCCAAATATACCAACCAGAGAAATGAACTGTGCTGACTTCATGGGTTCACGTAAAACATTAGCACAGGGGCCAACACACAGTAGAGGTGCCTGATCACTGTTAACTATGATTGCTTTATTTGCAGCAGATTAGTAAATGATTGAAGGATGTTTTCCATCTTATTTATAAGGTTCCTCATCTTGATGCTATCATGTCAAACCAGGTCTTCTTTTGCCCTGTTCCAATAGATAATTTTTCCTTCCCAGTTTGACGACAGACCCACTATTCCCCAGGTCCTTACCTGGATTTATTTTTAGAGATTTGCCAACTGAACTATGAGGTGCATGAGGAGAGGAATTGGGTCTTAGCCATCTCTGTGTCTCAGTGCCCAGGACAATGCCCGGCACATTCAGGTGCTTAATGAAGATCTCTTGCATAAGCAAACATGGCTAAAGGACAGCAACACAGTCCCAAGCTTCCTGGACACACAGTTCATGCCCTTTGATAGATAAACATGCAAAAAGCATACAAATATGTGAAGGGTTTAGAGCTTTTGAAAGGGCATGTTAAAAGATAAAGATGCGTGATGTTTGATAAAATATAAAAGGAAACAGGAACAACTTGCCGCACTCAGCTGCTCCTGGTTTCTCCTCGCTCTCTCTGTCTCTGGGGTCACGCTTACCGGAGTGGCCTTGTAACTTTGTTCTTTGTACTGGAGCTGGGAGGCAAGAAGACAGACAGTTTGGGATTATGGGGAATGAAAGTGTCCCAAAGTGTTGGTGCAAATTAAAAGAAACATCACATGGCTACACAACATTCATTAGTAAAATTTCCATTAGGATTTTATAGTGAAATGTATTGCTAATAGACTTCATCTTCCTAGTGGTCCCAGTCTCTGACCTTTGCTTTGTCAAATGTTTTAAGTTAGATCTCTCATTGTTATTCTTCAGGTTGTATTATTTATTGGTGGCCTCTCTGATTTGATCTAATATGAATTATCCCTTCTGTGAATTCATTTTTTTTCAAAGCACTAAAGTGATGTTTATCAAATCACCATTTTATATGAAAAATAATAATTCTGCATGCTTATCATTTGCTAAAGAGGGTCAAATGCTATACCTGCTCTTTAGTGATAGACTATCACTATATAACCTCAAAGCGTCGCTCCCTATGAAGTTCTGACCTTGGAACCCTTGCCTCTGACCAAGCCCTAGGAAAATTTTCCTGGCTTACTGTGCAGAGATGCTCTTTCTTAGCTGAGGGGTCAGATTCCCCTGTTTGTGGTCAGCTTTCCCAACAATTTCACACCACCCCAAGAAATAAGTGAGTATCGACACAGAGAAACAGAATGGCATGACCATCAAATTAATTTTCGACAGGCAAAAGTAGAGCTGGGGGTTAAGTTCCCATTATAAGAAACTCCACAGGGACAGTCTTAATGATTTTCTGAAGCTTAAATTTAGCATTAGGGAATTTTCTTTCACAAGAAATCACAAGCCTTGTGGGGCCTGCTGATAAAATGGACTTGAGATGCAGCCTCTCAGTAGTGAACACGCAAGTGAAGAGAAATTGATAAGCCTGGGAAAAAAATGAAACAGGATTAGGCTCTTTCCAATCTGACCTCTTTCTTCAATGTGCAACGTTCGTGCACGGCAGTATGTAGTTTGGGGGTTTAGGCGGGTCCTTGCAACTGGGATGACTGAGTTAACGTGAAGAAATTTTCAGTTTAATCTCTATTGATGGCAAGATTCAAGGAAAGATTACTCTGTATAAAGCTCAGAGGGAAAAAGTCTGAATAGTAGATTAGTATTACTGATGGAGAGAAACTGTTACAGCCAACTTCTAGTGGATGTAAGTTCAGGAACAATTTGGTAGGGAGAATTTTCATGTCTTGCATTCATCATTCGCAGACATGCTATATGCCTCACAGGCAGTATCTTTTTAATACCCTAATCCCTCTTATAGATAGCACTTTCCATTTGTCATACTAGAGATATACTATAAATAAGACCTATGTTGTTATAGTATTACTTTTTCATTAAATTAACTATTTTTTCAAATAAAGTTATTTTAAGAAAGTACTATGTCTCTACCCAAATTGAAGACTAGTAACCCTTCTTTAAGAAGAAGGTAAACATTTAAACAATTTAATCATAGTCAAGGACTGACCACTGATGGACCACGTAACTGTATTCTTGAATGCCACAGTGGTATGTGAATCACACTTCAGGGACACTGTGGGACTCCATACTACTTCTTTACGATCTGTACTCCCCTCTCCATCATCATTCTCCTGCCATCTTTTACCCCAACTATTAATATTTATCACACTAAACCTTCTCTTTCTTGAACAGGCCTTGGATTTCGAATATATTTTATTTGCTCTGCCAGGAATACCCTTCCTCACAAAATCCACCCAAACCTTTACTGATTCTCTAAGATCTAACTCCAACATTTCTCCTTCCCCAAGGCTATTTCTTTCTCCCACTGCATAGACATCCTTTTCTGCATTCCTATAGCACTTTGCAAAAGGTATTATTATTTATGATTAAATGAGATAATAGATGCAAAGTACTCAGAAAGCATAGTAAGCACCCAAGAAGTATTAATTATTGTTACAGCACTTACTGCATAATAGCTATGTACTCCTAGTCCGTTTCTTCTGGAGATCTTGAGAATACGCATAGCCCTTGAGCTTACAGTATATCTTACTCATCTTTGAAATCCCCCAAGAACAAGAAAAGAGTAGACATTCAATAACATGTTTCCTTAATAAACAAATGCACGTGAAGCACTGGGCTCGGCGTGATGGAGGATATACAGGTGTGTAAAGTGTTGTCTTCGCTTTTAAGGAACTGACTCTCTTGCAATGGTATTCACTGTAACAGGATTTTACCTGTATAGGTATCATGCTCTCATTATATATTGGTATACAATAAAATAGAAAAAAAATACTTAAGGAAATATGATCACATTGCTGATGTTCTTTTGGTTTTCTTTAACTCTCTTTAGCTCCGGAGGATCAGAAATGGCTGTTGCATGTTTAATCTCTTCTTTGTATTTCACCTGCATAATTTATAAGAATATAATGTTAATTTCATCCTAAACAAGGCTTAAAAATAGTTAAGAATTCTTCATTTGTAACTATTGCATAATGGATGTTTTTAATTCCAACATGACTTTTCCTTCATTGGGAACACAATTTCTCATTTTATCTGATATTTTCGGGATTCTTTTATCCTAAAGTACAAATAAGATCATATCTATTCATGTATCCGCCACTGTAGAAATTTTTTAATTAAAATAAGCAGTATTGCTTATGAAAATAAATTTTATCATTAGGCAGATGCAGAAAAAAAACCTTGGAAATTATCTTAAATAATACAATAATTTATTATTTTATATCGAAAAAGCAGTTTCTATCTATTAATATGATAATTAAAATTTAACGTGTACTTAAAGGCAAAAGTTAAATTGCATTAGTCACATAGTCTTGGGAACACTACTTGTCTGAGTGAGAGAACACAAATAATTCAGAATAAGGAAAAAAAAATAAAGTGAGCACAATAAAAGAAGAGAAAAAGGGAGGTGGAGAGAAGCATACTAGAAGTATAGACCACTGTGTCCAGTTCACTGGAAGACAGGTCAGTACCAGAAAGTCAGGAGGTGTCTTCTGCTTACACAATCACGTTATGAGAAGCCCACCTTTGTCCCTTGCACCCACTTCATTCAAAAGCTCCCCCTTCAAATCTACTTAGAGGAAAATCAACAGGGTAGGTAGTAATACCAGCACACAGTTAGGCCTGGGACAAGAACAGCTCTTTGAACTTAACAAAATGATTAGTGATGCTATCACTTCAGGTGGTATTTTACTGTGTCTAAAATTCATGGAAGACTGGATTTGAGAAAAAGGATGCATATATATATATATATATATGGAAGCAGAGGCTCTTCTTGAGAGGCCTATGTTGAAATCTTGCAAAGACTTAAATCTACACAAAACATGTCTCAGAAATCACTTGACAATGTCTAAAATGAAGGCTGACATGCATGCTGTCATAAAGAAACAGTACTTAAATATCTCAGCTATCATCGATGTCTTAGTACCTGCGGATATAATACGTCTAACAAAGCCACTGTGAGTCCAGACCCAGAACAGTTAAATGGAAAGTTCGCAGAGAAAGGCTACCTCTAAATAAAATTCAAAAATAGTTCTTAAAACAGAGAGCTAATAGCTAAAAGGCTTGTACTCTGGAGGTGGAAATGTCGAGATCTTTAAATGTTAGAGAATCGTATCTTGGTTTGACAGATCTAGCTAATCTGGAAAGGGCAACTTCCCATTTGAATACTAAGCAGGAGTTTATGGCCCGACCTCATGGAGATAGGGAGCTATGTATTTATGGTTTGCTAGAGGAGGTCGTGGGATGCTGGGAGAAGAAATGATGTACTGTTCTACTTTGTGTGATTTTCCTCGGGTGAGAAGCTAAACACGATTAAAGATGAACGTTTTTGTTTTTCATATGACTCTAAACTAATCAAAATGGCACGGTCATTTCACTGTAGGCTATAGAACCGCCCTCCACAGAGCATTTATAATATTATAGCACAGTACATCGATGGGTACATTTCAAATAGCATCATTCGAAAGTGATGGAAACAAACGTTGTCTACTTCTCTCCTAACCTAATTTCTCCACCAGACCTGAGTGCTCCCTGACACAGGCTCTCGCCATGGCAGGTGAGAGGGACGCATTCACACATCCTCATCCACACTTCCGGCCTAGGTCCTTCTTCTGCTTTCTTCGGGAGATGGCTTCATTCACGCTAGAGAGATTTTATTGTGCTAGTATTCTGCATATTTCTTATAATTTCATTCTGAAGTCGTTTTTCTACTGATTCCCTTGCCTTTCCTACACAGTCTCCACAAATGCCAGCACATGCTCATACTCTCAAGATGCTGTAGAGCTTTCGGGGTTACCCACAGATGAGTCTCATCAAAGCAGTTCTCCTTGGGTTACCTAAAGTTCTGGAAGTTACTGTTTCCAAAGGTGAAGGTGAAGGGGTAAGTCAGAGAAGGGGATTTAAGGAAAGAACCCTTTTTATTTCCTCAATAAGAAACTGAATATACTAAATACACATGGCAGAATACCTGTTGGGAAGAAGGGCAACGATCCATTGCACGTGGCAAGCACTGAATGGAAAATATTTTTACCTGTAACATGAAGCACCTCCCCTACCCTTTCCTCCAGTGCAAAGGTAACTGGAGAATAACTTATTTTACAATCATAGTGAACGTGTGTGATTTTCTTTGTTGTAAGAAGTAGGGGGTAAATGGGTCTAGAAAACAGAAATATGCACAGAAATGTGTCTGAGAGAAAGTTCAGAAATGTGACTGACATGGGATAAAAATAAACTGACACTATTTTCTTTTTCAAATCTAAACCTCTGCTGAAGCCACCAAATAAATGTTCCGCGGCCTTGTATCATTCTATCAAGGTAAAATATCTTTCCTCCAAGTTGGGCAGAGGTACTGGGAGGTATCCTTTCTCTGCAAAATTTAATACACTTAAGATTCTGTTCAAAGAGATGAAATCTAGTCCAAAATTTCATTAAAATGACCTATCTCTTCTTCACTACAATATTTCAAAATGAAACACTGCTTCAGAGTCAAGTGGAACAAAGCTACGATTTTCCTTGGGAAAGTTAGACCTTTGCTGTTTGATGAAATAGCACTTCAATAAAGTGAAAAATAAAAGCAAAAAGCAGTCAATGAAGTCAAGAAATAAAAACATTTATCTGGCTTTTGTTTGCTTTTGGAAAGGATAATTAATGCCAAAGAGAACTTACAGAACTAATGTTCTGCTGATTTTTCTTCACGCGTTCAATCTCTGGGGTATCTTTTACTGGTATTCCGGCTCCTACTTCTTTTTTATAAAATACCTTTATCAGAAGACAAGGAAAAGAAGAACTATAAGCTTGTCAGAATTCAAGTCCTAGATCTGATTCTTATAAAAGAAAGACAATTTCTCAGGTTTTATAGTAATGTGAATACTGCATCTATTTAAGAGTAGCAACATTATATGAACCAATTAAATAATCCATTATGACAATAAACGTCCACCTTTGGTTTCATATCCCATAATCTTCAAGTAACCATCTAATACCTGTTCTAGGGCATGACTGCTACCTTAGTTAGCTGCATATCACTTGCTTTAAGAATATAAATTGGCAAACCAGAGCTTCCGTTTCCAAATATGAATATATGTTACATGTGTGTTTGAGAAAAATCAAAGCACATATTATAAACGCTTGCTAAGCAGTTATCATTTAATTCAAAAACAGTATGAAATCGTAAGTAACTGCAATTCCCCAAACACAAAGATGCCCTCATTCTCTTCAAAGAAAATATTAGCTCTATCGTCAACATCAACATTAATTCAAAGTCTATTTTCCTCACCTTCCACTTATTCGGTAACCTTCCCACATGTGTCTCCACCCCACCGACATCTACCACTGCCAGATACAAAGCAAAACAAAAAACAGGAGTGCTCTACAGAAAAACAGAGTAATTATAAGAAGTGTTTATCAGGACAGAATTACTCCCTGTCTTGACATTTGATAACCCAGTCGGCTCCAGTGGCAATGGGAGAGCAAAGTAGGAGAGATGTTTGCCTCCAAAAGCCAGAAATCTGGAATAGCGAGGAACCACAGGACTAAAGGGCTAAAACAGCCTCTTTCCCTGATCCCCCTCAGCCAGACTTTTCCATCTCTCAGCACAGCTCAGGCCCCCTTGTGGAGACAGGTACCTGACCAGCATACCCTGAGAGCTGGCGCTTGCCACCTAATTAGGAAGTAGAGAATATTCCAGAAGTCTTCAAACTAAATAGAATTTGCATTTTGATAAGGTACTTGCATAACTGCTACAGGACTGAGCTAATTCTCCATTAAAGTACTGACTGTGTGATCAATTTTTATCATTTTAGAAGTCAAATTTATACATCAATTAAACATAGTGCTGATGTAATCACTATTCCTCAAAGGAAAAACATGGAAGTTTAGGAATTGGTTATGAACTAGTAAATCCCTAGATATAGCATCAGTGTAGATAACCAATGGCCAGGAAGGAAATCACTCCGTAGGACTACTTTTATCTTCAAAGTAAAATCTGTGTGGAAGAAGATTAAGACTTCTTTCCTGAGTTAAATTTTAAAATTCAGTTCAAAACTGTCGTTTGTACCAAAGAGGAAAATTTGAATTTGTAATTCTGAAACAATCATGCTAAATTAAGAATATTCGGTATTATCATTATTTTAAAGACATAAAGATAATACACTTGACGGAAAATTCAAATAATGCAGCAAAAAATCAGAGAACGAGGACAAAAGACCATTCCTCACCAAACGTAAAATTTCGAGGGGGCAACTAGAAAGAAATGATGACTACTCACCGCACTAATGTTTTGTTGAGTTGTCTTAATCCTCTGAATTTCAGGAGTATCTGCCATAACAGAATAGTTACAAAGCATCTTCTCTGCTTCATGTTTATACTTTTTCTAAAAATGTAAACAGTTAATATGAATCTGAAACTGTGTATGTGTGAGTGAGAGAGAAAGAGACAGAGAGAAAGCCACAAAGAGAACTTTACCACTTTTTCCAACTCTACCATACCATGTGGCTCTAACTTATATCTTAGGATTCAAAGCAGTTGTTGACGCAACAGCAAAAATAAAGGCAAAGTATAAACAGAGTAAGCAAACAGTCCTCCAGAACAGCCTCACCTCTGCTCAGGCTATGGTCCCACCCGGGTCCATGCAAACAACTCGGAGGGCTGGCCTCCTGTGACCCACCCTTTCATGAGCAGTACAAGTCCCTGTTCAGATGGCCCCATAACTCCTACACATAGCCTGGCCCTCTATACCTACTTTTTTATGCTTCTGCATTTACGCTTCGCTTCCTACTTCAGGTAAAGATACATTTGATAAAGGGAAATATACCAGTATTTTGTAGTTGAGTTAAAAATCTCAGTTTTCTATCCACTAAATGCGCCACTCTGAGTTCTAATAGAACGTGAGCAATACCTTACACTAGTACCAGCATTTACATAGCAAATACTATGTAAGGAGCATCATTCTAGATACTTAACACGTTAGCTCATTTAATGAACCCCCAAGCAGATACTATTATTATCCCCACCTCCCAGATGGGGAAACTGAGGTACCAGATAGTAAACGTCAGAGCTATTATAATACAATTAAAACCAGGCATTCTGGTACCAAAGACAGGGAGGTTAACCATGATGACACATCGCTGCTTATGAAAAAAGGTAACTACTGTTCATGTTGAAATGTACCACAATATCATTATATCCCCTTAAGGATCCCGTTGTATTCTAAAGGGATTAAAATCAGATGTATTCTCATGTCACACTCAAAAGATCAACACTGTTAAGGCAGGAAATCTGACCACTCAGGCACCACTTTCTCTGGGAAGCCTTCATGCTTAATACTTTTACTTTCAGGTAGTATACATCACAGTTTATAATACTATATTTGTAGGATTATTAGATTAGCCTGTAGTTCCCCAAGGGCAAAATCACATCTAATTCAGTATGTCAATTGGTGCTTAGGAAATGTAGCTGAATGAAGGAATGAGTTTGGCATTCTCGAGACAGCAACTTTCTCCAATGACCCAAGGGACCATTTGCCTGTTGTATGTATTCACCTACTATTTTTAGTTCAGCTGATGCAGCTATAGCCAACATCTCCAAGTTCACATGCCACTGTAGGCACCAAGGAGAGATGAACATGCACATCAAGGCCATCCCAACTGCTGTGTCACCTAATGAGGCTGAGAAGCAGGCTACTCCTCTGACATCTGACTCTGCCATCTTGATACTCTCATTTGAACCAATGGACGTTTAGGCTCCTTCGTTATGTTTTAACCAAAATTTTAATAAATATCACCACATTTTGTTATAAGTTACTTTTGGGATAAACTCTGTCAATCAAATTTAATTCTATGGTCAATTTTCTAAAACCATTTTAATTTTTTTAATTCCTCATTACTATTTTTTCCATTGGGATTCATTCTTTTTATGTAAATTTTATAACAAAAATAGTATTCACTAGTGAATGTTTTTGTCCAGATCAGATTTTATAAATAACTTCTTCCATAAATATTTTCTTTTGTGGTTATTATTTCTCCCACACTCCAGTTTTTTTTAGAGAACATGTGACAGGTATATTTGGCAAATCTAAATTTTACCAAGAAAACAGTTCTTCCCTTAATTTTCAGTTAATATCAAATTTGACCTTGTGCCATTTTAGCCACTGTTAGTTTTATTTAGAGCTGATTTGTCTTAATAACAATATTCACTATGAGATGGTTAAAAGACAAACCATTTGTAACTCTTTCTCTGTAGTATGAGCAAAGAGCATTGAAGTCCTATGCGCAATGGAGCAAAAAAAGAAAGAAAAAAAGGAGAAAGAAAGAAAAAAGAAAAAAAAGAAAGAAAAGAAGGTCAAAAATGTACTTGGACTCAAAACAAGGGGCCTCAACAGAGAGGCTTTGACACTCTGGTAATAGCTATTGAACTGAATCTATAAAGTTGTCCTTTTAATTAGTAAGATTAATCAAGCTTGGCCAATGGTTTCTTAATAGAGGAGTACACTAAATTTGAATGCAATGCCCTCGAAAAGATATAAATCATAGAGAAGCACAAAGCACATGGTGACGGGATGTTAAAACACATGATTCTGTGTCTTCATTCTCTACTAACCTGGCTATAGATTTCAGATGCCCTCTTGGCTCGAAGTATGTCTGGGATGTCCATGCTCACCTGCATTCCTTTCCCTTTAATTTCATTTTCTAAGTCTTTCTTATATTGTTTCTAAAAGAACAGAAAAAAAAATCTTAGGATTTTGCTTGACCTTCGATAGCAAGGTAGGTATTCATGTGCTTAAATATCAAAGCCACCCACATGGAAATAACATTTACATTCTTTCTATATAGGATTCAGTATGTTTGTATTAAACTTTATATCCCACTACTTTCGTACCTGGCTGGCCATCTCGGATGCTTTCTTAGCTCTCTGGACATCAAGAGTGTCTGTGTTCACCTGCATTCCTTTCCCTTTAATTTCAGTCTCCAGGTCTCTTTTATAGTCTTTCTGCAGAAAATGAGACATTTGGTCAGGGCTTTTCAATCATGTCAAAAACTGTGCTGAAAAACTACGATGTCATTTTTACACCAGGATCGTGTCTTTCGGAATCAAGTTGGACCCTTTTTATTTCTACGGAACAAGAAAGAATTTTAACTTGTGAAAAAAAACGTGATTGTAAAATTGCTGCTTTTCACTCTGTAGTGAATAAGTGTTGGTTGTGACCCTGGAATTCACCCTTCTTGGCCACCACTTCTTTTTTTTGTTTTGTTTTTTCCTTTGAGACAGGGTCTCACTCTGTTGCCCAGGCGAGAGTGCAGTAGCTCACTGCAACCTCCAACTCCTGGGCTCAAGCTATCCTCCTATCTCCACCTCCTGAGTAGCTGGGACTACAGATATGCACCACCATGCCCAGCTAATTTTTCTATTTTTCATAGAGACAGGGTCTTGCTCTGGCTTGGGCTGGTCTCGAACTCCTGACCTCAAGTAATCCTCCCACCTCGGCCTCCCAAAGTGCTAGGATTATGGGTGTGAGCCACCACCCCCACTGGCTGCCACTTCTGAATGGAACCCTTGTTGGTCAGGAATCCTCTGCCATGCCGGTTCTTTTTCTAAACCAATCATGGCAATCCCACTTCCCTGGCCGATGCAGGTAATTCCTAACACAGCAGGAACTCCCACGGTAGTCAAGTGGCTACTTCTAGCCTTTCAGATTCCCTAGGTGGAAGTCAGTCCTGCATCAGCGCCTCCTAATTGCAAGGGTCACATAATAGTTCTCGGAGGAGCCCAGTGAAGCCCCTACCTAACCAGCCCAGAAATATGTAGGCAGCACCTTTTAACCTGCACCCCAGCTTTCTATTCACATACGCTTCTTACAAGATCATCTCATCCCAAATGCTCCTCACCCCAGTGATCCTTTTATATTCTTGGAATTGCTGAGGAAGTTCAAGAGGTGTGGAACCAGTTCTGGGGAATTTCCTTTGAAATACATTAATACGCGTATGGTCTGACTCCTGCATCTCTGTGATGTGATGTGATATCTATCATATCATGGCGTCTAAGACAAAACTTCTAAATTAATATCCTGTTGCTACACGTATTCGATGATGATAAAAATGGTGTGAGAAGAGTGAATGTGGTCATTCAGGATATATAATAACCTCAACCCAAAATGCTGACTCTGTAGAAATTTCACACATGGCGATGAAGTTGAGGGAGGATATTTTTAAGAATATGCAATCACACAGAAATGACTATCGTTTTCATGTTAGAGTCTCAATTCTCAATGTGTGATCTCCAAGTTCTGCTCAAAAAGTTGGAAACACAGATATGCCAAGCAGCACGCGATGCATATTTAAAGGCAAAAAAGCCAAAACAAAAACATTATCATAGCCTAGATTGACGTGAAATTTGTTGTATTTAGGAATAAGGTGTATAGGGGAGTATGCATGTGTGTGTTTGGTGTGTGTGTATTCTATTAAAATGCCTTTCCCCAATTTTCCTTTGATACACTTAAAGGGCATGAGCAAAGCCAAATGTGTAAATTTTCAAATAAGCATAATGCTTTGGAATGGTTTCCATTCCAAACTGTTAAACTAGCCACAAAGCTTTGAGAAAGTCCATATGCTGATCAAGTTGCTAATGTGATTTGTTAAGTTCCAGAACACGAGCATCCAGGTCTGCGCCATTCGCCCTACTAACCTCACTTGCCATCTCTGTAGCTTTCTTGGCGCGCTGTATTTCAAGGGTGTCACTGTCAACCTGCATTCCTTTCCCTTTAATTTCTGACTCCAGGTCTTTCTTATACTCTTTCTGTAAAGGCAATATTTTACAACAGTCAGACACTCAGTGGACAAACATACATCTGTAGTCAATGATACCAAAAAAATAGCTAAACATATTTTTTAAAAGAGAGAACACATAGCTTATTGCGTACTAGGAATGATCACCAAGAATTAAATTTTCTGGGTTGCTTAAAACTATAATCACTGTTCCCACTAAAGAAAGGTATATAAAGCTCTGAAGATTTTTAGTATAACAAGGCAATTGCCAGGTGAGAACCTTCACTGGCTATTGCCCTGGGGGCTGGAAGAGGGGGAGGTGGGTGTGCATGAACTGGTGTCACACAAAGAAGACTGACTTTGAAGCCAGAGCACTCAACAGCTGGGTGACGCTGGGTTTCTTAACTTCTCTGGTTTACTCATCTGCAAAATGGGGGTGATAATGCAAACATTGCTCATCTTTATTGCCCTTCACTTTATTATGCTCCATAGATAACTGCATTTTTTACAAATTGAAGGTTTGTGACAACCCTGAGTTAAGCAAGTCTATTAGCACCATGTCTCCAACAGCATGTGCTCACTGTGTATCTTTGTGTCACATTATGCTAATTCTTGCAATAGTTCAAACTTTTTTCACTATTATTATATCTTTTATGGAGATCTGTGATCAGTGATCTTTGATGTTACTATTGTCATTGTTTTGGGGCACCATGAACTGTGCCCATATAAGATGGTGAACTTAATGATAAAGTTGTGCACGTTCTGACTTCTCCACTGACCAGCTGTTCCGCTGTCTCTCTCCTTCTCCTAGGGCCTCCCTATTCCCCGAGACACAGAAATATTGAAATTAGGCCAATTTAATAACCCTACAGTGACCTCAAGTGAAAGGAAGAGTGACATGTCTCACTTTAAATCAGAAGTTAGAAGTGAAAAGCTTAGTAAGGGAGGCATGTCAAAACTGAGACAGGCAGACAGCTAGACCTCTTGCACCAAACAGTTAGCCCAGCTGTGAATGCAAAGGAAAAGGCCTTGATGGAAATTAAAAGTGCTACCCCAGTGAATACACGAGTGATAAGAGAGCAAAAGAGCCTTAGCACTGATATGGAGAAAGTTTTTCATGGTTGAGAAATAACATCAAACCAGCCACAACATTCTCTTAAGCCAAAGCCTAATTCAGAGCATGGCCCTAACTCTCTGCAATCCTGTAAAGATTGAGAGAGGTGAGGAAGCTGCAGAAGAAAACTTGGAAGCTAGCAGAGGTTGGTTCATGAGGTTGGAGGAAAGAAACCATCTCCATAACATAAAAGTGCAAGATTAAGCAGCAAGTACAGATGGAGACGCTGCAGCAAGTTATCCAAAGATCTAGCTAAGATAATTGATGGAGGTGGCTACGGTAAATAACAGGTTTTTGATGTAGATGACACAGCTTTATATTGGAAGAAGATTATATCTAGGAATTTCATAGCCACAAAAGAGAAATCAATGCCTGGCTTCGAAGCATCAAAGGACAGGCTGACTCTCCTGTTAGGGGCTAATGCAGCTGGTGACTTGAAGTTGAAGCCAATACATATTTACCATTCCAAAAATCCTAGGGCCCTTAAGAATTATGCTAAATCTACTCTCACTATGCTCTAGAAATAGAACAACAAAGCCTGGATGACAGCACATCCGCTTGTAGCATGGTTTACTGAATATTTTAAGCCCACTATTGAGACCTACTGCTCAGAAAATAAAAGATGCCTTTCAAAATATTACCCCTCATTGACAATACACCTAGTCACCCAAGAGCTCTGATGGAGATGTACAAGGAGATGAATGTTGTTTTCATGCTTGTGAACATACAACATCCATTCTGCAGCCCATGGATCAAGGAGTCATTTTGACTTTCCAAGTCTTATTATTTAAGAAATACATTTTGTAAAGCTATAGCTGCCATAGATCATGATTCCTCTGATGAATCTGAGCAAACAAAATTGAAAACCTTCTGGGAATGAGTCACCCTTTTAGATGCCATTAAGAACATTCGTGATTCATGGGAAGAGGTCAAAATATCAACATTAACGGGAGTTTGGAAGAGGTTGATTCCAACCTTCATGGATGACTTTGAGGGGTTTAAGACTTAGGTGGAGGAAGGAACTACAGATGTGGTAGAAATAGCGAGAGAACTAGAACTGGAAACGAAGTCTGAAGATGAGACTGAACTGCTGCAGTCTCATGATAAAACTTGAACAGATGAGGAGCTGCTTCTTGTGCATGAACAAAGCAAGCGGTTTCTTCAGGTGGAAGCTACTCCTGGTGAAGATGCTGTGAACAGTGTTCAAATGACAACAACGGATTTAGAATATTACATAAACTTAGTTGTCAAAGCAGCAGCAGAGTCTGAGAGAACTGACTTCAACTTTAAAGGCAGGTCCGCTGTGGGTAAAACGCTATCAAACAGCATCGTATGCTGCAGAGAAACCTTTCATGAAAGGAAGAGTCGGCTGATGCGGCAAACTGCACTGTTGTCTTAATTTAAGAAATTTCCACAGTCTCCCCAACCTTCAGCACCCACCCTGATCAGTCAGCAGCCATCAACATAGAGGCAAGACCATCCACCAGCAAAAAGATTACGACTCACTAAAGGCTCACATGTTCGTTAGCATTTTTTTAGCAATAAAGTATTTTTTAATTAAGGTGTGTACTTTTTTTAGACATAATGCTATTGCACACTTCATAGACCACGATATAGTGTAAATATAACTTTTATATGCACTGGGAAACCAAGAAATTCGTGTGACTCGCTTTATTGCAATATTTGTTTTATTGCAGTGGTCTGGAACCAAACCTGCAGTATCCCCATGAGGATCAATGAGACACCCCACAGCACAGAGCCCAGAGGAGGTGCTCAGTACATGACACCTTCTAGTCTTTCATTCCTGTTCCCCAAGGCCAGTCTTTGCTTCTCCTAATAAGGCCTGATTAACGACAATTTACACTGCTCCTGCCACCATCCTGCCATTCAGCTGCATCTGGCTGGACTCTGTCATCGAGAGATTAAAATAATTTCTCTAACTATTACCAACAAGTGATTACAAGAATGATCTCTGCACATGGATTGGACATGTCAGCGCTACAGAAGGATTTGCAGAAGATGGCTAATGCAGGGATCGTGTGATGACAACGTCAGCCACAGACCTCACTGTGGACATCTGTTGTTTGTACTCAACCAGGCTCCATTTCTCCTTTGGCAACGATCTCACAGTTTTCTTCTGGGGAATGACCTCTAACCCCTCTCAATCCACACACTTGGGGGTGGTGGGGGGTGTTGATTTCCATCACCTCCCTACTCCCCACATGTATTTTAAATTCTACTAAAATGCTTCTAAAATGTGTCCTTGAATTTATTGAAATAACTGGAAGATAGCCAAGACTAAGATGAATTTTTTTTTAAAACAACACATAAGAATGTAGAATGTTGTACTCAAGATGCCATTAAAGTACATAAACAAATAGGTGACCATGAGAGGCAAATGAGCACCTTGCACTCCCCGACTCCAGACATAATGACCGGATCAGGTGTGAGTGAGCACAGGATTTAGGTTGATCCAAGGAGATTCAGTCCTTGGACCTTAATTGGAACTACTAAAAATAAATAGATAAACAAATATGATCAGTTCCCAGTGGGATTATTGGCCATAGACATGAGCTCTCCTGTTACTAAGAGGGGTCATTACACAGAGACAGCTTCCCAAGAGTGAAGCCAATGAAGAAAATAACAGAACCGAGAGATGGAGGAAGAGAGACATCATTAGAATTCCAACCTGATGGTATTGTAATTTCATCTTTGGATTTTTCTATCCCATGAGCTGAAGTATCTCCTTTGTTGCCTAACCCAGTTTGAGTTGGGTTTCTGCCATTTGCAGTCTGACTAGTAGGGTCATCATCATCATCACCACGTTTTATTAAAATATGGGGACAAGGCTTTAAGATTTTTCACTGTTAAATTCAGCTAGATTCTCCTCAAAGCACAGTGTCATTATGTGATACCAAAGTAATGACATAGTACAAGTATTAAAGGACTGAAAACACTCAGAGACATTTTATTCTTTCTTATAAAGTGCATATAAAGTGAGCAGTAGCCACTTTCATTCGACAAAGATATTTAACCAGGCTCATTCAGCAGGCTCACCAGAAATGGGACCATCAGTTGGGTTACGAACAGGAGAGCATGTGGACTTTCCGACTGCAATTACTGATAGATCATAATAACACACTTTCCCAATCGTCTGCCTTTCACTTGCTTAAAAGATGAAGTTAAATCTCAAAAACTATTTTTGTTTATTATATAGATTTTCTCCAAATGGGGAAATGGCCATTTTTCTCCCATCAGTTAGGAAGGAGATGGTGAACATCAATTTTTTAAAAAATTCATTATCTGGGAAAAGACTACTAGGATATATAGCTGCTTACAATCATCTACACGTAAAAGTTGTGGGATGTAGAGACTCTTGGAGAAAGATTTACCGATAAGGAGGTTAGCTAAAAATGTACACATTCTAAGTTGTTAAATAAATATACTCACCTCACTAGCCATTTCGGATGCTCGCTTTGCTCTTTGAATATCAAGAACTTCTGAATTAAGTTCCATTCCTTTCCCTTTTATCTCATTTTCCAAATCTTTTTTATATTCTTTCTGCAAGACAAGAATATTATAGTTCGCAACTCACCGGGAATCACTTTAATGAGTATACTATTTCACATGTTTTCTAGAGATCACAGAAAAGAGAAAATATTACAAGGACGGAATGAATCAGACTGCTGAGTGTTTGTTCATGCAAACTTCCTACAGGCACTTCATTTTCTCCTCTGTCAAGTTCAGAGTAGCTTCCAATATTCACAGTCTTTTCCCTTTTATACTTTCTCTCAATATGTTTTGGTACCATAAACCCCCACATTTTTAAAAAGATGTCTTTCCATTAAATGGTAAGGAGGATGTCAAGAATGCATGCTTCTTATTAATTATTTCAAGTATTTTTGAAACGTCTATAAAATATGAATTACCAAAAAAAATACAGTTGAAAAGAATGAAAAATTACAAAATCAAAAGGATCGATGTAGCCAAAGTTAAAAACCAAAGTTTCCATTTTATTTAAATTATTTATTTAAATTATTTCGTTCTACACAATTTAAATTTGTAGAACGAAATAATTTCCTATATATTTATAATACATAGTTTGAATTTCACCTGTCTTAATATCATATTTTAAGTGGATCCAAATGTCTTCCGTGAGTACTTGTATATAGCTTGTTTTTCTCTGTTAATGAATTGCTTTTTTCTTACTTAATTGCATTATGAAAACAATAAATATCCTATTCCCATTCGATTAGGTTGTGTTTATGACTAACTTGTCAGAGGAAAGATGAAACTTCCTTTAATGTTTAAAAATCAGGTTCCAGTTAATTCTAGAGTTCATTTCATGTTATTTTCCCTTAGTTCAATATAATTAGATTAGCTTGTCCTCTGCTCAACTAATAGCTTACTAGACATTGGCATGACCTGCCTATAATTTTGGAACGATCTCTGAGTCAAATGACCCAAGAGAAAGAGCTTTTCCACTTATTTGGTTGTGTGACCTTCAGGAGGACTTTTAAGTAACTCAGCCTTGATTTCCACTCTGGCAAAATGAAAATAAGAATACTTGTTCTACCAATGTCAGAGGGTAATGGGGGAAATCAAAGGAAATGAAGTATAAAATGATACTCTGAACATTCTAAACAGCGATGTAAATGTAAAAACCATCAAGTAAAAATTGTAAAGTCCACTTGAAGCTAAATGCTCAGCCTTAGAAAGTGATAATTCCATTAAGTCACCAAAGGTCCTTTTTTCAATTAGGTATCTCTATAACTTTTTTCAAGTTAATCTTTTAAAAAATTTTTAAATTTTTTCATTGCAAATCGACAATATTTATGGGGTACGAAGCAATGTCATAATTTATAAATACAACATCAGATAATTAAATCAATCTAATTATTATATCCATCACCTCAAATACTTATCACCTTTTGTGGTAAGAACATCTGAAATTTACTTTCTTAGTACTTCTGAAATGTGCAATACACTATTATTAACTGTATTCACCACACTGTGCAATAGATCTCAATAATAACCCTTATTCCTCCTGTATAACTGAGGTTTTACATCCTTTGACATCGTCTCTGCATTACAACCTCAACCCCAGCCTCTGTAACCACCGTTCTACTTTCTGCTTCTATGAGTTCAAGTATTTTAGCTTCCATACAGAAGTGAGAACATGAGGCATTTGTTTTTCTGTGCCTAGCTTATTTCACTTAGCATCATAGCTGTTATGGACTAACTGTATGGCTTCATATGTTGAAGCTCTAATGCCCACTGTAATGGTATTTGAAGGCAGGGCCTTTAGGAGGTAATTAGCTTTAGATGAGGTTGTGAGGGTGGGACCCCTGTAATGGGATTAACGTCTTTATAAAAAGAGGGGACTACACCCCTCTTCTTATAAAGAGAGAGAGAGTTCTCTCTCTCTCTCTCTCCCCACCTCCTCTGTGAGGACACAGCAAGAAGGCATCTGTCTGTAAGCCAGGAAGAGAGCCCTCACCAGGAACCAAATCTGCAGGCACCTTCATCTTGGATTTCACAGTCTCCAGAACTTGAAGAAATGTCTGTTGTTTAAGCCACCCAGTCCGTGGTATTTTGTTATAGCAGCCCCGAGCAGACCAATACAATAGTCTTCTCAGCCTTTTCCTACCCTGATGTATATATTCTGAACCAATAAGTATAAAATAAGACTCACTCAAAAAGAAGAATACAAGAAAAAGGCATGGCATGCATTAAAGTCATTTATAGATCTCAAAATAGATCTGACATTGTCATTTGTATGTAAATGACAATATTACTGTTTAAAAATTCACATAAATGTGCATTTTTAAATGGAAGACATTAATAGTAGGATGTTGCCATTTGATTAGTCTTCAACTTCAAAAATTTTTGCAGTTACTAGAAATGAAAGGAGAATGTAGCAAGAGAACTCT